CGAAGTGGCCTACAGTTGGCTCCGGGCATCCAAAATGTGGCCCGGGAATGGAGTTCTGGGAAGTCGAAGAGCACGAAGTGGCCTACAGTTGGCTCCAGGCATTCAAAATGTGGCCCGGGAATGGAGTTCTGGGAAGTCGAAGAGCACGAAGTGGCCTACAGTTGGCTCCGGGCATTCAGAATGTGGCCCGGGAATGGAGTTCTGGGAGGTCGAAGAGCACGAAGTGTGTGTCTGTTGTGAAAAAGCGCCGGCGGCACCTGCGACCCAGGCAACTCCCAAAAAAAAAAAAAATAAAAACATCCCTGCCCGGACCCCCCTGTGGAGTGATCTGGCTGCTCTCTTTTGATCCATAGAAACCTATCAGTCTTCGCCTGTTAGTTAAAATTATCCCGGCAAGCACCTAAACAGCGATGTGTAGGAGCATATCTGGATGCTTTCCCCTTATGATTCCATTCCCCTTATGATTCAAATGAGAAGATTCAGATGAGAATCCAGTTGTAGAATTCTGCTGTTCTCGCAGTCGTAGTCGCATTCGCGATGACAGTCGCAGTGGCAACGGCAGTAGCAGTCACAGCCTCAGCCTGCTCTGCCTCAGCCTCAGCCTCCGCCTGCCTCAGCCTCAGCCTGCCTCAGCCTCAGCCTCAGCCTGCTTCATCCTCAGCATCAGTCTGCCTTCAGCCTCGGCCTCAGCCTCAGCCTGCCTCAGCCTCAGCCTGCATCAGCCTCAGCCTCAGCCTCAGCCTGCCTCAGCATCAGCCTGCCTCAGCCTCAGCCTCAGCCTGCCTCTGCCTCAGCCTCAGCCTGCTTCAGCCTCAGCCTCAGTCTGCCGTCAGCCTCGGCCTCAGCCTCAGCCTGCCTCAGCCTCAGCCTGCATCAGCCTCAGCCTCAGCACGAAGCAACCCAGCTAGAAGGACAAAGCGCTGAATGTACACCGATGTGTTCGACGACTGCGTATGTAATGATGTGACGATATACAGACTGAGCCCTTCGTGAATGTCTACATGTTTTTCTGACGCCTACAAACGGCGCTGACGTGTGTGTGAAAAGTGTCCGCGCAGCAAAAGCCGGCGAAGCGTGCAGACAGCCAGCTGCAAAAGGTTGCGAGCGGCTCTTGGAAGACGTTTACGGAACGGAGCTACGGTGTCTGAAAACAATGGCATCGAAGCGAAGAGCCTCGGAGCCCTGCAGCCTGAGAAACACCGCAGGAACTCGCATACTGAAAAGGAATGCATTGCAAACCGCACGTTGCGAACCCTGCAGGCTGAGAAGCACCGCAGGATGTCGCATGCTGAAAAGCACTTGTACTGCAGAGCGCAGGCTGCGAAACCTGCAGGCTGAGAAGCACCGCAGGAACTCGCATGCTTTCGAACACTACTGCTCGAGACCGCAGCTGGAGAGCGGCAGACCGCAGGCTGAGAAGCACCGCGGGCAGAGAGACTTGCAAAACTCAGATGTCCTGATCGTCTTGGAGGAAGTCACGCCAGTCCGGCGGCTGCCAAGAATCGATGATGCGCCTGGAGCCACCGCCCGTGCTGCCGCCGATGTCCAGGTAGTCGCCATCGCCCCTGAACAGACGGCCGTGCCCGCACGCCAGAATCGCTTGGTTGCGGATTTGAAGCAGCGCTCCGCTCTCAAACATCTGCAACACGTCCTGCTGCCTGCGCGTGAAGTTCGGCTTTGCCTGGCCAGCCTGGGCAGACAGATGGAGGGAAAGCCGCTCCCCCTCGTTGTAGCGCGCGATGGCCTCGGCCTTCTGGTGGTGCAGCCGGCGCCGCTGTTGCCGCAGAGCTTCCTCGGGAACTGCTGCATCACGGCCCTCGCTGTGATCAGCTTGCAACGCTTGCGTTAACCAATCAACGTCGAAGCGCCCTGAGAAGGCCAACACCTCCCAGATCTGTTTAGTACCGGCCACGCGTTGCAAATGGCGATGCCACCGCTTACGCTTCTGGTCTTTCACAAACTTGGCGACGCTACCCAGACCTGCACCCTTGGCCTGGCCACCTTTTCCCGCAGGCTGAGAAGCACCGTGAGAACCTTTCTTACCGCCTGGCCCTTTGTTCGGACCCTGCGGAACCGCATGGCCCCCTTGTGGCGCAGACTTGCCTTTCGCTTTTCCCTTTTCGATATCCCGTTCCTGAAGCGCACGCTGCTGCCGCGACTGCTCGTACTGGTCGCGAGCTACTCTGACCAATTCCTGGCGCTCAGGCTCCGTGAGAACGTAGCGCATGTCGTCGATGTTCTTGCTCCGCAGAAAGTCATGTCGAAGCTTAAGGACAGAGAGAATGGCTCGGCCAGTCTCCTCCTGAGACGCAAAGGCCGTGTCATATTCCGAGCCAGGCTGAGGAGCGCCAGCTGGATCAGTGTCCGCTGGCTCCGTGGACTTCCTCTTTTTGAAAAGCAAGAGACTGAGATGATGGAGGACTTTCGGATCGTACTCCTCGTCGTACCTGTCGTCCCAAAGCTTCCTCAGCTCCCTGTGCAAGTCGTCCGCGCGATTCTGAACGACATCCTCGACGTAGTCGGGATCACCCGGTGAAGTCGGTGAAAGCGGAGGAGCAGAACTCGGCGACCGATCCCAATGCACAGAAGACTCGCGGTCCGCCTGTACGCTGACGTCGGCGTCGGAGACGTTTTCGACGACAATTTTCCGCCTCTTGCTCTCCCCAGGCTGAATAGCACCAGGGAGAGTGAGCACAACCGCCACCGCATCGTGTGCGTCGTTGCGCATGCCACGATCCGTAAAAGACGCGCCAACGGCAATGGAGCAGAAACGGGCGACTGCTCCGCAGACCGCGACGTGGTCGCCTTTGAGGTCGGCCGGAGTGGCATGGACCTCCCATACCTTCTCGTCGTTCTGCTCGCGCTGGTAAGCCTCCCGCGCCTCCTGGAAAGTGAGGTTGTCGTCGCCGACTACAAGCACAACGACTGCCTCGTTTAGATTCTCAAGAATCTTGGCCAGGCCGTCCAGGTGCAAGCGGAGATGGCGAACTGTCCGCTTTCGAGTCTGGATGCTCGGCGGTTTCTTGCCGCACACGATGTGCATGTTGGCGATCACCACGTGGAACTTGTCATGGCCTGGTTTGTTCACCTCAAAATGTGAAATAACAGCATCAATATCTCGGCCGCTAGGAGGCCTGTAAACTTTGCTGTCTTCGCACAGAGTCAGTTCCGCAGGCTGAGAAGCACCGCGGAACCCCCAGAGAGTCAAGTAGTTGTCGACCTCCAAGAAGCGAATGCCATCACCGAAAGGCTTACTGAGGATGTCTGTCACGTTGATCCCTGCTCGGCGAAAGCCTTCACGGAACGCACCGACCTCGCAGCCACAGACCATATCAGCATCAGCGGTCTCCACTATCTTGGCGCACAACCTTCCGAAGTTAGCGCAGTGAGTGGCCGCCTGCTTACCAGTCATCATGCCCTGCTCGAACCCGAAATTGAACGAGGCGACCGTGAAAGACGCAGGCTGCACAGCGCCAGAACCAGGCGTCTGTCCACCTTCCTCCGCAGGCTGAGAAGCACCGCGAGGCGGCGCAGGCTGAGAAGCACCGCGAGGCGGCGACACTTCGGACGAGCCTCGCGGAGCAGAGGCTGCGGATGAACGTTGGACATGGGGGTACGGCCAGGGGAACGCCATTGCAATCAAAACTCAGTGGACTGCAGTGAATGAATGTAGTGGCCAATTGAATGCAGAGGACTGCAGTGTCACTAGCAAGTCCTGAACCAAACACAGCTGTGGCGGAAGGAATATGAAGCGTCTGGCTATTCAAAATGTTGCCCGGCAATGTCCTCCTCCTCCTCCTCCTCCTCCTCCTCCTCCTCCTCCTCCTCTTCCTCCTCCTGGGTCCTCCCCTCCTCCTCCTGGTAGCCCAGGAATGGGAGTTTGGGAACTCGAAGAGCACGAAGTGGCCTACAGTTGGCTCCGGGCATTCAAAATGTGGCCCGGGAATGGAGTTCTGGGAACTCGAAGAGCACGAAGTGGCCTACAGTTGGCTCCGGGCATTCAAAATGTGGCCCGGGAATGGAGTTCTGGGAAATCGAAGAGCACGAAGTGGCCTACAGTTGGCTCCGGGCATCCAAAATGTGGGCCCGGGAAGTGGAGTTCTGGCCCGGGAACTCGAAGAGCACGAAGTGTGTGACTGTTGCATCCGGCCCCCCAGAATGTGGCCCGGGAATGGCGTTCTGGGATGTCGAAGAGCACTTTGTGTGTGACTGTTGCATCCGGCCCCCCAGAATGTGGCCTGGGAATGGAGTTCTGGGAAGGCGAAGAGCACGAAGTGTGTGACTGTTGGTGAAAAACGAGCCCGGCTCATGCCGCCCGGAAACGCCCCAACACCTGCCCGGACCCCCCTGTGGAGTGATCTGTGAGCTCTTTTGAGTCAACTAGAAACCTATCAGTCTTCGCTGTTAGGTAAATAGCCGAAAACGCCAGGGAAGGCCGCCTTCGGCCCATGAGTTCTCGCGCCCTCCCCGCTTCTACGATAACCCATCTGAGCCGCCCATACTATCTTGTTGGCCCTTGCGAATCGAAGCAAGCCGACGCTAAATCGGAGCTGCCGCATCGACTGCTCATCAACGCATCGACTGCGATGGCACACAAGGCGCGCATCTTTGGTGCGCGACTTTCGGGGGCCGCGGGGAGGCCGAACCCGAGCGCACACGCCGCTGCTAGTGCACCGCGCTCAGCCATCTGAGGGCCCTGGTGTGCCCGCACCAAAGATCACTCTGGCGAAGGGTCACTCTTAACGATTTTCTAGATGGGGTCCGAGAACATGGGGTCGGAGGATCGCATCGCATCGCAGATGTATCAACGATGCATCGGCGATGTTTTGGCGACATCGGCGCAGCTTCGGCGACGCCAGCGCGGAGAAAATCGGGCTCCACATCGAGCCGCATCGGCGATGCATCCGCGGCGCCGCGATCCTGCGACACCATCTACTCGGACCCCATCTAGGAAGCCTAGAACTCTTACGTGCAGCCGAGATCTGCTGTACCGCGGCCCAAGGTCCCCGGCGCCCAGCGGCACCGAGCTCCCCGCGCTCCGCCTCTCCTCCACGGCGGCCCGCAGCCGGGCGGAGAGCGCCACCTGCGCGCCCCGCAGCTCACCCAGGAGCGCCCGCTGGTCCGCCGCCGCCATGGTCCAGGTGTCCCCGCGGTCCTGCGTGTGGCGGCCGAGGAGGAGCAGGAGCAGGAGGAGGAAGGAGGAGCAGGAGCAGGAGCAGGAGCAGGAGCAGGAGCAGGAGCAGGAGCAGGAGCAGGAGCTCGGGGAGGAGGAGGAGGAAAAGGAGCTCGGGGAGGAGGAGGAGGAGGAGAAGGAGGAGGGGGAGAATGATGATGATGATGATGATGATGATGATGATGATGATGATGATGATGATGATGATGATGATGATGATGCTGATGATGATGATGATGATGAGGAGGAGGAGGAGGCGGAGGAAGAGGAGGAAGAGGAGGTAGAGGATGATATAGGAGAAGCAAGAGGAGAAGGGGGAGGAGAAGGAGGAGGAGAAGGAAGAGCAAGAGGAGGAGCAAGAGGAGGAGCAAGAGGAGGGAGAAGGAGGAGGATGAGGAGGAAGAGGAGGAGGAGGAGGAGGAGGAGGAGGGGAAGGAGGAGGAGGAGGAGGTGGGGGAGGAGGCGCAGGAGGAGGAGGAGGAGGAGGAGGAGGAAGAGGAGGAGGAGGAGTAGGAGGAGTAGGAGTAAGAGGAGGACGACGATGTTTACCTCGAGGAAGAGCACCCAGGCTCGAAGCACCAAGTTCAAAAGGTTCTGGAGCGCTTTCGCCTTTTCTGGGACTCTGGGGGGAGCTTCTCTTCTCCACGGCTGGATCTGCCTCGACGAGCTGGTCAGAGCGCACTCCAAACCAGGTCCACAGGGAGCGGCCTGGGCTCCTAGGCTTTGCAGGGGGGCGCCCCAGATCCCAACGGCATCGTTATGTTTAAGTCCAAGCGTTTCTCCTCGGCTTGGGCCTCCGGGGCTCGCTGTCGGGTTCCGGGTGACCAGTACTCTGAGTACCTCCATAGTTGTGGGGTGACCAATATCGATCGGGGGGCGGGGGGCCCTTGTAGTCCGGGGGGGGGGGGCCCTTGTAGTCCGGGGGGGGAGCCCTGTAGTCCGGGGGGGGGGCCCTTGTAGTCGGGGGGGGGGGCCCTTGTAGTCCGGGGGGGGGGGGGCCCTTGTAGTCCAGGGGGGGGGGGTCCTGTAGTCCGGCGGCAGGCACACTCTGATCTTCCCGTCGTCGTGCAGTACAGTACTTACTCGTCGTTCAGACCGTGGCAATTTTCTTTTTGTGGCAGCCCGAAGCACTCGTGCTGGGCGTGGTCGCTGTAGTCCGGGGGGGGGGTCCTTGTACTCCGGGGGGGGCCCTGTAGTCCGGGGGGGGGTCCTTGTAGACCGGGGGGGGGGGCCCTTGTAGTCCGGGGGGGGTCCCTGTAGTCTAGGGGGGCGGCCCTTGTAGTCCGGGGGGGGGCCCTTGTACTCCGGGGGGGCATTGTAGTTCGGGGAACCAGAACTATTGAGGGACTCAGAGTAAACGCGGATCCGGGCCGAAACGCTACCCCTGGGGAGGGGGTCGGCGCCTCTAGTGCGGCCTCTGGAAGCATTCTGTCGTCGGACGTCCGGGGGGTCGGACTTGCGCGCGCGGCAGGGGCACCCATGCAGCACCGCGCCTGGCCGATGCCATCCTGGGCCCCGGCACGGTGTACAGGCCCTCCTCGCCAAGCCCAGGCGGGTCGGTCCCAAGACAGGCTCGCGTCGTGACAAACATCACGACGGACGGTTTTTTGGTCCATGTTCGGTCTCTGGAGGCCCTCGCCGGGCCACGGGGCCGTCAGAAACGGCTCGGGACGAGAAACCGGCTCTGGGGAAAGGGTCGGGACGTCCAAGGACCCCGTATTGAAAAGACGTCGGTTGCCTGGGTCTGGCGTGCGCAGGAGGGGCACCCACGCAACAGCGTGCGCGGCCGGTCTCTCGGGTGTTGCCAGGAGTGTCCCTGGCCCAAGGTGTCCCAGGGACTTCCAATGATGTCCCCACGGCCTCCAGAGCGCCCAGGGCTCCCAAATAGAGCGAACACCTGGGAGCCAAATAGAGCGAACACCTGGGAGCCCTCGGGCTAGGAACACCCTTGGCTCCTCCCGATCCTCGCCGAGGCCAGGCGGGTCTGGATTATACTGGGGCCCCGGATGGCCGAGGCCAGGCGCTATGGAGGTGGTTGGTATAAAGTGCCTTCTGCGGATGGCTGTTAGATGCTCGATTCCCTGGTGGTGGTGGTGGTGGTGGTGGGGGGGCTCCTCATGTGGGCCTTGGAGGGGGGTCCTCTCCTCGCCAGGAGACGCCGTGGAGTCCTGGCCGGAACGCGCTTGGGGACAGGTCCGGGGATCGACAGTGAGGGGGAGAAGGGGAATGGGGGATGAGGAGGAGGGGGAGGAGGAGGAGGAGAAGAAGCATGAGGAGGAGAAGGGGGAGGAGGAGGAGGAAGGGGAGGCCGACTGTCAACTGCCCCCCTGAAGTTGTGGCTCCCTGAAATCCAGCTCGGATTGCATCTGGCCCCTGCCCCAGCCGCAGTAGCCCACAAGCAGCAGGAAATCGTCGACCTCTGCCGTGCCAGCCTCCACCACATCCTGGGCCTCTTGAAAGGGGATCAAATACACCCCTTTGATTATCTCTTGGCTCACCTCTGCCAACTGCTCGCTGGTGTGTAAACAGAATGGGACCTGAGTGTTGACCGCACCCGGGTTGAGACCTTCACAATCACCACCGAACCATACGTTCCACTCTTGATTGCTGTTGCGGGCAATTTCCGCAATGCTAGGACAGCAATCAGCGGCCCTGAAAGCTGTGGGCCGATTCAAGATCAGGCCAATGTCGCCTTGGTCGTTGTGCTCAGTGATCAGGATGACAGCCTTATGAAAATACTGCTGGTTGATCGCGAAATGGTCTCCTGGTGAAGAGAGCAACACCGACCCCTGCTCGATCAATGGAGTCACATGCGCCCACCCCTGAGAAGCATCCGTGCCGGGCGCTGACTCGTTCGCAGTGCCGCCTGCCTCGCCTTGCTCCTGCTGCACCAGCCTGGCGCGGAACTCGCGCCAGTCCTCCGCCGACCCCTCCGCCCATCTCAGCACTCCGTACCCGCAGCCGTGCCTGCGTTCGCTGGCCCGGTAGCCGCCACAGAAACTCGGCGAGGCCGACACTCGCAGGCTGGTCCGTGAGAGCGACGCGAGCCAGCACAGGGAGGAGGCGGCAAGCAGCGCGGCAGCAAGGGCAGCCCGAGGCGCACTCTTTCTGCTTCGCGTTCTTCTTTGCAGAATTGGCGTGGAGCTCGGGCGCAGCAAGGCAATACACATCCGCGAGGCCACAATTCCTACCAGAGGCTGAGTCAACATAGCTTGAGCCCATACGGCCATGGATGAGGAGGACAAGGACAGGGAAGATGATGGGGCTGAGGATGGGGACGAGGAACAGCAGCCAGAGAGGAAGGAACATGCGGAGGAAGATAATCAGAGAGCGATTAGGAGAAGGAGACAGAAGAGGACGCGAAAAAGAACATACATATCCCGCCCCCAAGATAACCACACATACCTTCAAGAGGCCCCTAAGAGGTGCATTCTCCACGAAATGCCCCCCAATACCTCCAACATCCCCCAAAAACCTCCCAAGCAGCCCCCACCACAAGACCCCCAAAAGCTCGCATGAGTCTGACAATTCATTATCAAGAAGCTGTCCCCGAGGCCCCCCAAAAACCCCAAGAAACCCCGCAACACAAGCAAACGAAGGGACCGACGAATCCGCAACAACGACACGCAAGCAAAACACCAGAAAGCGGATAACAACAGATCCGCCACAGTGCCCCCCTGGCACGCTGAGGCGTGCTGAATGCCAGGTGTGCTGAATGCCAAGTGCTGCCTAGTAGGGTCTTTGTAGTCAACTAAGGGCCACCTCAAGACGGCCTAGGAAGCCTTCGAAACGTCCCAGGAAAGCCACACAAGCCTGCCCAAGAAGGTTTCGGGAAGCAAACACCAGTGTTGCTTTCAACGGTTATCAATCTGTGTTGGGGGTTCTCGCCTTGTCCAGCATTTGACGTCCCAAGATGGCCCAAGAGGCCCTCAAGAGAACCCCAAGACGGCCGAAGAGGTCACCAAGAGGACCCTAAGACGTCCCAAGAAAACTCCAAGACGTCCACACAGGCGCAGACCACTGCCCACGCAAGCCCCAAGACGGCCCCAAACTTATCCAGGAAGGCTCCCAAACTGCCCAAGAGACCCCCCAGAAGCCACCAGGACTGCCCAGCAGGAGGCCACGACAGCCACAAAATGACTCAAACGAGTTCCATGAATGCTCGTCTACGAGTGAAGACGAACGGTGTCACATGTGACGGCCTTCCTCTTGCTCCTATTACTCCTGCTCGTCCTCCTGCTCCTCTTCCTCTTCCCCCCTCCTCCTCTTTCACGTCTTCGTCCTCCTCCTCCTCCTCACCCTCACCACCAGCATCTTCATCATCGCCACCGCCACCACACTAGTCATCATCACCCGCGGCATCAATATCATCACCAACAACATCACCATCACCATCACCATCATCACCACACTTTCCACCAATATCATCATCATCACCCACATCACCACCATCAATCGCATCATCATCACCACCGCGTCCGCAATCAGCATCAACATCATAAACACCATCGCCACCACCATCACAATCACCATCACCATCACCATCATCATCACCACCATCACCGGTATCGTCATCATCGCTGTTCACCAACACCGTCACCATCGTCACCAACCCCATCATCATATCCGCCACCACCGCCAACACCATACGCATCACCAGCAACACCGCCACCATCATGGTCATCGCCGTCGTCGTCATCTTCTGCATCCTCATCAAGAGCCGCATCAGCATGATCACCACCATCGCCAACAACACCACCATCGCCACCACCATCACCACCATCGTCTTCAGTACTATCAGCATCGGCACCATCACCTTCAGAATCACCGTTGCCATCGTCATCATCATCACCATCCTTCTCGATGGCAGAGCCAATAGCCAAAGGATCGGATCATCGACGCCGGCTTGTAAACAAATCGGCTCGTCGCAGAGGCCTGAACCTCCTGAGGGAGCTCGGTGCGCGTGCCAGCCATGGTGCTTCGCAAGGAGCTAAGCGGGCGACGGTTATATCGTGACTACAAATCTGCTGCGGCCGCTTCGTCGGCCTCGAAGATATTTAGGTCGATGGGTTGCGGACATGGGCGCGCAACTCCCCTGTCCGAGCGCACGAGAGCGGGGGCTGGCAGCGAGCCTGGTATCATGTCCCCGCTTACGAATCGTACTGCTCGATGGACAAGCTGGTGGTGTGGCTGGCGTTCAGTGCCTAGCGCCCTTCCGGTATTGTCCCCAGCCAGTGGCCTGCTTCGTCCTCAAGTCAGCCCGCTGGAACCACTCCCTTGCGATGTACTGCGGCGTATTGCTCTTGAGGGCCTTTTGGGTGAGCCCGCGTCCCTCCAAGGAGGGGGCGCCGAAGATGACCTTCATCCTCTGCGCGTCGTAGCATGTCTCCAGCCTGGTGAAACTGATCTCCAGCTTGAGGTCGCCCTTGTCCACTTCTGGTTCGGTGAGCTCGTCCTCGGGCTGGCACTTGTCGAGGTATTCCTTCAAATCGCGCATGGCTGCGCCCTGATGTCGCACTGCATCGAGCCCTCCTGGGCCGCGAGGCCTAAGCTCGCCGTGGGGGATCCGACCCCCTTTTTCCTCTGCTTGCCCTCGGCCCCCTGGGTGCGCAGCGTGTCAAGTGCTGCTTTGTAGCTCTCCAGCTCTGCGCGGATCTTCGTGACCATGGGGTGCACGGCTGGCAGAGTGTTCATGTCGATGGATACTGGCGGGACAATGCGTCACCTGTGCGTCGTCTGAAGGACCAGAGTAATGTCATCAAGTTCTTGTCCTTGCTGCTCCACGTCTTGGCTGGATGCTATCCTTTGCGTGTCCGTCGTCCTCCTCGTCGTTGTGGCTTGGCCTTCTTGCGGTCGCGCGCCTCGCTCCCGCCGCCGCCCATTTCCTCGTCCTGAGGCTGGTCGTGCTGGTGGGCTGGCAGCCTCTGGAGCCTGGCCTTCGCTAGCGGATGGGGCTCCCTCCACGCGGGGCTGCGCCGAGGTTGGCCCAGATCCTTGCGAGTCCTCGGAAGAGCCCAGGTGGAGGCGCCACTGTGCTCTCTTCGGGCCTTCTGGCGGCTTGGCATCCACTGGCTTGGTCTGCGCATACTTCTCCACTGCCGCCGCTGCCGCCGCCATCTTCGCGTCGAGGGAAGACTGGCACTGTAGGCGTCGCCGCCGCGAGCAGGGTACTGGCAGGTGCTGGTCGTAGCGGTTCTGCGTGTGCTGGCGGGCGCTGCCAAGCTGGTCGAAATCGTCGTGACGGTGGCTGGCGTAGTCCGGGTGCCGTGCGGCGCCTGTCGGTGTCTCTTCGGAGCGCTCTTCGAGCGCCGAGGGTGTCCTCTATGGCTCGCTGGTGTCGTACTGCTGATGGCGCAGGTGCTGAAATTCCTCCAGTCTCTGCGCGGGGGTCTGTGCCCTCTCTGTATTGAATGTGTTTGAGCCAGAAGCCCGATTGCGACGGGGCAAGGTGAGTGAGAAGATGCTACTGTTACTTTGATATGGATGGAGATTTTCATGTAGGCATACGGGAGCCAATTCATGCATCTGCAAATTTACATGTTGTGGCTGTTGATGGTGTTCATGTGTACACATGATGCGTACGTTCCGAACTGCACCTACCATACTGCCAAAAAAGCCGTAGATGTCGTAGCGCATGTCCAACATGTGGGAATGTACTTTGACATGCTATGCACTTGTTGTTGTACTGTAGCGTAGTAAGTCATCATCAGCACCATCAGCATCATCAGCATGAACATCTTGATGATGATGATCATCATCATCACCATCATCATCAGCATCATCATGGCGGCTGCTCCAAGCCTGGCAGCACGAGGGGTCGCACGTGACGGCTTCCCGTGCCCAGGCGCAACACAAGAGGCCCTCAGGAGCAACAGGAAGGAACCGCCAATTCCCCAAGGGGTCTGCGGTGTGGCGTAATCCCAAGAATCCACGACTTGACATGTTGTGGCTGATGATGAAGTCAATGTTTATACATGATGTGTCAATTCCGCAATGCACCTACCATACTGCCGAAAACGCCGTAGATGTCGTAGCGCATGTTCAGTATTTGGGAATGTAGTTTGACATGCTATGCACTTGTTGTCGTACTGTAGTGCAGTAAGTCATCATCAGCATCATCAGCACCATCAGCATCAGCATCATCATCATCAGCAGCATCATCATCACAATCACCATCACCATCATCATTGTCATCAGCATCATCATGGCGGCTCCTCCAAACCTGGCAGCACGAGGGGTCACACGTGACGGCTTCCCGTGCCCCCTCGAGCAGCCGCCACCCAGAATGCTGGGCTGGCATCGCGGCGTGGCTTGCCGCAGGCAGCTGTATAAGAAACCGAAGCCGCACATCTCATCTGGGGGTCGACGGAATGGCGCAAGCCTTTTGAGTAAGATGGAGAATCAGAACGGTCATAATGAGAAAGGCCGAGTCGCGCCATGATGGAAACAACGAGGAGACGCCTCCGCGGACCACGTTCTGGCGCGCTTCCTCCCGCTCCCACCCCCCTCCTCCTCCTTATCCTCCTCCTCCTCCTTGTCCGTCCTCTCTTCGTCCCTCCACTGTCCTCACGAGTGGGTCCCCAACCCCATCACACAGGGGGACCCCTGGGCAAAGGGTTATGTCCCAGAGTACCTCGTGGGCCACCCCCTGGACCCCGCCCCTTTGAGGCATGGCCCAGCGGCATGGCCTGGCTGGGTTTCTATTTCACCACGGTCGGGGAAGTTTGCTCAGCGTGTCGCGGCGACAGCCCCTCAAGCGGACAGCGTGTCGCTCCGCTCCGCGGGAGGCTCCGAAAGGCTCGAGACGTTGAAACCCGAAGCGTGGCGGGCCATAACCAGCGGAACGACACGTTATCCAAAAGACCCCGACCCTCATGAATTACCGACGCCATGTCTCGAACTGTGCGCATCCGTCCCCTCCGTCCTCGTCTGCCAAACCCTCGCAGTCCTCCTCTTCTTCCTGCTGTTCCTTCTCCTTCCAATGATCCTCACCTTCTCCTCCTCCTCCTCTTCCTCCTTCTGTCCCTCCTTCTCCTCCTCCTCCGCCTCCTCTTCTCCTCCTCCTCCTCCTCTCCGTCCTGCTGCATCTCGTCCCCTTCTCTGTCTGTCTGCCCCTCTCCCCTCTCCTCCCCCATGCTGCTGTCTGCTTCTCCTCGTCCTCCCCTTTTTCCCTCCTGTGGCTGCCGCTTACCCTCCTCGTCACCCTGATTATCTTCCACGTCGTAGCAGTCCTGCTCAGTCTTCTCCTCCCCTCCCTCCCTCTCCATCTCATCCCTCTGCTCTTCCTCCGTCTCCTCCTCCTCCTCCTCCTCCTCCTCCTCCTCCTCCTCATCATCATCATCATCAGCAGCAGCATCATCATCATCACCATCACCATCATCACCATAATCATCATCATCATCATCATCATCATCATCATCATCATCATCATCATCATCATCATCGTCATCGTCATCGTCATCGTCATCATCATCATGGTCATCGTCATCGTCATCATCATCCTCATCCTCGTCCTCGTCCTCGTCCTCGTCCTCGTCCTCGTCCTCATCCTCATCAGCAGCATCATCAGCAGCATCAGCATCATCAGCATCAGCATCAACATCATCCTCATCATCATGTCCCCCCCCTCTGCCTCCCTCCCCCTCCCCCTCTCCCTCTGCCTCCATTCCTCCCTCCCTCCCCTCCCCCCCTTATTCCGCAGGGAACGGATCGAAAGAAGAGAAGGGGGCTATGAAGTTCGAGGAGGTATCGTGGCCTCCGCCATGATAGCCCCCCAACCATCACCCCCCTCCTGGCCGCCCCCGAGAGAAGGGGTGATCCTTTTTGAGGAGGGGGGGGCCCGCCTATATGCCATGATGAAGTCACATTCCCCTGGCCTGGTGTCTGGCCCAGGCATGAGGCAGCGAGCCTGCCAGCACAGTGGCATGAGCAACTTCAAGGGGAGGACAACCATGTTCGAGGACGGGGGGTTCTGGGCTGGCGCTCGTCGGGGGGGGGGGGCGCTCTTCCAGCTGCCGGGCTGGCACTGCCAGAGGCGTCGGGGGCCACGGCCACAGTGACCCTCAACCACGACGCGAACCACGAGAAGAAACACGTAAGGAGGGAGAAGAGTAGGCAGGACAGGCGGCGGGCACAACGCCTCCAGACGACCACTCTGGATGGGAGAAACGCAACACCCGGCACATGCAGAAACTTTCGGAGGTCCACGCGGATGTCTTGGAGCGGTGCTGGAACCCTCCCCCCAGCGCGCGGAACGCGCCAAGGTGGCGGTGACCCAGCGCAGATGCGAGAAGTCCGCGCGGAACTCTGGAAACTTCTGTTTACGCAGATTTGTCCTTCGAACCCAGAAAGGTCATGGACCCCTTCCCGGGGACCGCTTCTTCATCCTGAGTTGTGCTGTGTTGCGGTCCTGGGGCCCGGCGAGGCCCCGAAAACGGCCAAACATCTTCCGTAGCGTGTGGTTTTGTGAAAGGGGCATGACGGGGGGGGGACCGGCTGAGAAGAGGAGGCCTCGACTGGAGTCGGCGATGCATCGCCGATGGATCGGCGATGGGCCCCCTGCTAGCGGATCCGCAGATTCCTGGGCGGGGAGGGCCACAGCGCCCCCATCGGCGATCAATGGGCGACCGGGGGTCGATGCGTCCTCCCCCCAGAGCCCATCCCCCCCCCCCCCCTGACGTTCCCGCTGTCTATGCGCGACGCGAAGATGTCGCTGGGGCCAACCCAGAATCCCGGCTGCATCCCCCGCCTTCGGCTTTCGGGGGCGAGCCGCGAGACCCTCCCCTTTTGATCGTCAGGCATGGGTACGGGAGAAATGGGTATACGATGCCAAACCGCGAGAAGGCTGTCCAGGACCGGCAGTGAACGCTGTGGGGCAGGCAACGTCTACAGTCAAAACGCAAGGATGGGCCGAAGGGGCAAGGATGCAAGGGTAGCATGAGAAAGCTGCTCATCCCTACTATGCGCTTTCACTGCAGTCTCGAATGGGCAACGCCCGCGGCGACACAGACAGCGAGTCCTATTCAAACTGGGGACTTAGAAATAGGCACCAACATCAAGACAGGGACTTGCCTCACCGGGACGAGATGGTCCTAGATGTTGGTGTCGGTGGGTATCTTTCGGCCACCTGGGAAGCATATTACCACCATCGCCGAGATTGGGATCGCCCTCCCTCGGTGGAGGCGTACTGCCGATGTTGGCATTGGTGCCAACCTCTGGGCCTCCGAAACTAGACAACCCAATGACGACGCAAACGTGACAACTCGGAGGTCCGGGCGGAATCGTTGGATCAGCGCTGGGCCCGCCCCCCCCCCTGGCGCGCGGAGCGCGCCAGGGGCGGCGCAGGAGGCGCTGCCAGAGGGACCTGGGCGCCGACCCAAGAACGTCTACGTTTATGCAAGGGTTGTTTGTTCTTCGACTCTGGGCCTCCGAAACTGTTGTCGGCCGTCGTACCCGGGAAGCCAAAAGATACCAATACGGCTGCTCCCCGGACCTCTCCCAGGATGCGTCCCGACCAGAATGTCGAGGCGAGTCCAGCCGCGGCGGCGAGGGCCGGGGATCGGAGGCCCGAAAAGTCGACTACACGCAAGAGTGACCCTGGGTAAGAGTGACCTTTGGTGCGCGGCTTTTTGAGGACCGAGCGCGCAAGACGCTAACTGTCGCATCGCGTTCGGCGATCGGGGGACCACATTGGGCCCGCACCGAAGGTCACTCCAGCGAAAGGTCACTCTTAAGCCTAGCCAAACAAAGGGAAAACGATGGAAGGGTACCGGTATCGATACCATCTTTCCTCCTTTGGATGCCCATTCTTCCTGTGCGTGAGGAAAACGGGTCCTGAACCCTAATGCCTTTCCCCAGGACCAATCCTTCCTTCTGAACCGTTTTCGGACAGTCAAGGGGCCCGTGGAGGGCACCGATGGCCCGAAAACGCTGAAAAACCTCAAGACCCGTTTCCCTCACAACCCGCCTCCCCCATTGGGGAAACCAAGAGGTACCGATACCGCTACCCCCCGGACCTCTCCCGGGGTGCGTTCTGACAAGGATTTCGAGGCGAACGCAGCGGTGGCGAAGAAGGCCGCCCAGGAGGCTCAAAAAGGGGCAAACGAGGGAAGGCTTAGCGGTATGGATACTTTTGCCTCCTCCGACCGCTTTCCCCATGGCGACGTACCTACTTCGATCGCACCGAGCGGGGCTGCTACACGCTGGCGCGGGCGAGGCTTCGCAGCGGCCTGCCCCTCATCGCCGCGGGCGGGCGGGCGCCCGGGTCGGCCGCGGCCAGGTGGGCCGGGCCGTGCGGGGGGGCTGCCGGGCAGCGGCCTAGGCTTGTGGAAGCCACGACAATGGACACCCTAACAGTCCTATCATTAAATTTTACATGTGTTTAAAATGTCGGACACATGTTCTCAGCATGTTTCAAACACGTTTTTTGCACATGCTTTAAACATGTGTAACACATGTTTCAGACATCTGGAAATTGTTTGGCAACATGCATCCTCTCCATCGATCGTCCTCCACGAGGCTAGGCCCGAGCGAAAGAGCGAAGCGCGGGGATCCCGCGGAGATATGGCACGGTCGAGGAGGTAAGGGCCCAGGCCCCCTCGCGCCGCGAAGAAATCGCGGCGGGAAGTCCCACCAGCCCTCTGGGCGTAGGTGGTCTGGGGAGTTTCCTCTTCCACCCCCCCTTCTTCCTCTTCGGGGAGGGGTTTGCCCCTTCCCTCCTAACCCCCTCCCCTGGACCTGGACGGGGCACCCCGCGAGGTGTCAGAGAGTACTTTTTCGCCAAAGACGGCTCCAAGAGGGCCTCAGAGAGCCCCAAATGACCTCCAAGATGGCTCAAGTTAGCCGGAGATGCCTCAAGTCGGCTCCCAAGATGTTCCCAGAGGCCCCAAGAACGCCCCAAGACGGCTCCAAGAGGCCTCCGAGACCTCCAAGGAGGCCTCCAAGAAGCCCAAGTCTTTCCAAAACCATGAGAAGGTCAATGCTTTCCTTTTTCTTGCCTTTTCGCTTCCGATGGTCATCTGAGGCCTCAAGATGGCTCCAAGATGGCCCAAGAGGGCCCCAGGAGAGACCCAAGAGAGCCCCAAGAGAGCCCCCAGAGCACCCAAGAGCGCTCCAAGAGCGCCCAATGAGCGCCCCAAGAAGCGACTTTTGGGGCTCCCGGGGGGGGGGGGGGGGGGGGGGGGAATTTCGGAACCCCTCTTGTTTGATCGATCTCCTCCACGATGGCCCCAAGAGAGCTCCTAAGGCTCCCAAAAGCGCCTCAAGACGGCCCCAAGATGCACCCAGACGGCCCCAAGAGGTGCCCAAGATGCCTCCACGTGGCTCCCAAGGGGCCCACGCTTCAAGAGGATCCCCAGGCACCCAAGACGCTCAAAGACTGCCCTGGGCTCGCCAAGATGTCCCTTCTCTTCCTCCTCCTCCTCCTCCTCCTCCTCCTCTTCCTCCTCTTCCTCCTCATCATCCTCCTCCTCCTCCTTGTCCACCGTCTCTTCCTCCTTCCTCCTCTTTGCCCTCCTCCTTCTCCTCCTCCTCCTTCTTCTCCTCCACCATCCTCCCCCTCTTGGGGTAATTATCGGACGGCTTCCCCCGCCCTCTGTTCTTCTGAATGCTCCCCCACTTCCCTGATCAACTCAACTCCTCTTGGCATCGTTTCTGGACTGGCTGGTGGGTATACTTTTTTGTTCCCGGGCTCGCGAGGCAAGTCGAAAGCCTGGCAAAGCTAGGGCGGGCCGCGCCGACGTAAAGGAACGGCTGGTGGGGATATTTCTTGGTACGCAAGCGCACGATGCGAGTCGGACGTCGGACAAGCAGCAGGATATGCCCAAATCCTGGTGGGGACACTTTTTCTTTTGGTCCGCGGGCGCGCGAAAACGAGTCTAACGCCGAGCGTGCTAGGGCGGGTCGTGCTAGGGTGTTGACGCTTCGCGTATCCCCACCCCTGCTCTTGGCTGCTCCTCCCCTCCTCCTCCTCCTCCTCCTCCTCCTCCTCTTTCTCCTAACCGACACATGTGCACATCTGCTTCCGGAGAGTGGCGGATGCATAGGGAGAGTAAGTTATGCAGCTGCTGTCAAGTTACTCGATGTCCTCAAGATATCTGGATGTCCTTTCATTGGCGGGGCTCTTGCAGACACATTCTGCTGGCTCACACTTGGTATCGGCATCGCACTCGTGGGGGTCCTGTGAGTGGCGGTGGGTCTCTGGTAGCACGCCCGTTTCGGCCCGGCTAAACGCGGCCTTCGGGAGGGATGCCGCCGGGCCCACCGGCCCTGGTCGCTCGCGGGGGCTGCGGTCCCTCTGGCCCGGGGCCTCCCGCGGGGGGTCAAGGCACCCTCGCATCCCCGTTCTGGCTGCCAAGGGCCTTTCATCGCCTCCCCCCCGTGCTCGCCGCGTCTTGGCCGCCACCGGACTCTTGGCTGGGACTGCAGTGTGGACGGACTGCATGTCCCGCGGGTTCTCCTGTGGCTTGCATCCTGGCGCCGGGCTCCCTGGGGGGCTGCCGCTGGTCCCGGGCCCGCCCTCTGTGGCTCTGGTACTCTTGCATCCCGATGCTGTCGGTCAGCGGTGGCGGTGGCACCACCCACTCCATCGTGGTCCACATGTGCCGGCGCACTGTCGGGATGTGGGATGCTCAGTGGGTGCCCCCGTCGTCCGTGGCAGCGCTGTATTCTGGGGACTCACCTTTCACGGCGAGGTGTTCCCCCCCAGGAGGCGCGTCCGACGCTGCCACACTCCAGCTCAGACCGCATCGGCGAGGATCTGCCACCCCCCCATCGATGACAGATGATGACGTCCCAGAGAGGAATCGAGAGGCGGTAGTGGATGGAAACCCCAGAGAGGGCCATGCGGAGGCTAATCAGCCCACAGTTGCGGATTGCGCTGTCCACCCACCGTGGGGACAGGCGCCTGTACCGCCCCACGCAGTGGCGGGTATCTCCCCCGAGAGACCGCCAGATGTCGAGGGAAGTGGCGACCTTACACATGTCACTTTGCGGCTGTTGGCTGCCCCCCCTCCTCCTCTGTCAATGCAAATGTGAATGCGGGTTTTGGCTGCGCCTCCCCTCCTCCTCCTCCTCCTCCTCCTCCTCCTCCTCCTCCTCCTCCTTCTCCTAACCGACACATGTGTACATTGCGGCTGTTGGCTGCACCCCCCCTCTCCACCCCGTGGTCAGATTCAGCCAGCTGCGTTCTAGCGCTCCATGAGGTGGTCGCGGCAGCTGCGAATCTCGGCGACTATCGTGACCGGTACCTGCGAGGTTGCCGTATACCGGCCCTTGGGCCAGCGTGTCCTCTCTCATCGTTGGTGCCCCGACCAGTCACTGCGTTCGGATACGATGACGACACACTGGCCCCCCCCCGGGCAGCAGCGCGGTCCGCGGAGCGAGTGCTCTGTTGGTACTTGCCGTCCCCCGGGTCTCTCTGTGGTCAGATTCAGCCCTGACTACACCCCAGCGCCTATGAGCTGGCCGCGGCTGCAGCGTACCTCGGCGACCTTCGGCCGTTACCCGCTTGGCGGCAGTGCTGGCGCTTGGGCCTGCGTGTCCTCTTCCATCGTTGCTTCCTGGCCTGTGACTGGTTTCGGAGACGATGGCTGACGCACCGGCCCCACCACGGGCGGCGGTTTGGATCGTGGAGTGAGAGCTCTGTAGGTCCCTGCCCTTCCTCTGCCCCTTTACGGCGGTGGTACCTCGCGCTGAGTGGTTCAGCCTTCAGCGTGGAGTGGTTCTGCCTTCAGCGTGTCGCTTCGTCCCCACCAATTGGCCTGTGACTGGTTCCGGAACGATGGCTGACGCACCGGCCCCACCATGGGCAGCGGTGTGGTTCTTGGAGTGAGAGCTCTGTAGGTCCCCGCCCTGTCTTTGCCGACCCCGCGTACGACGGTGGTACCTCGCGCTGAGTGGTTCAGCCTTCAGCGTGTCGCTTCGGTGCTACCTGTCTAATCGGCTAGGTAGGCTGCGCGGACTGGCGCCGACAGGGCGACTCTCCCGCAGCGTATAATCGAGCATTTTGCTTTTTGCATGTGCACATTCGCTTTCTTGCGGATTTGAACTGCAGGTGTTTTGCCTGTTGTAGCTAATTAGCCTCGCCTGCTGGCCCAGACGACGCCTACCGCTCCCTGTCCGCCGCCTCGGAGCCGCCGACCAAAAAAAAAAATATCCCCACCCCTTTGTTCAGTGCATGTGCAACTCCACGCTTGTTGTGCAGGTGCGATCCGGCCTGCCAACGTGGCGGTTGGGGTCGCCAATTCGCTTTGTGCCGCCCGCCCCGGACATTGCCCTTCACCGCCAGACCGTTGTCGCGCGGCCGCAGACCAAAAAAATATCCCCACCCCTGGTGGGGATACTTTTTCGGTCGCGTCCGCCAGCGAGAGCGCAAGCGGAGTCAGAAGCGTCCCGGGACACGGAAGCGGCCTAATTAGCTACTAAACGCGCCGCAGGCCGGCCGGCCCACGCACCAAGCAGCTGCGGGGCAGCGCGGGAAGCTGGCGGGCTGAGGGCGTCCAGGGAAGCTCAGGCACTTGCAGCCTCCTAGTGGGGATACGCGAAGCGTCAACATTTTTTCGCTATGGTCGGCCTCTGGGGGCTCTTACCGAGCCTCAGGACCGTCAAAGATATGTCATGATGAGAAACAGAGACAGGGGAATGGGTCGAGACCTCTGGGCCAGCTGGGGGTCGACGTTCTGAAAAAGTCAAGGCGTCGCATGTCTGGGGGGCAACTGGGCGGAGGAACAGGCACCGATACCGCTACGCCATTCGCCCATTTTCGCCCTCTTGGGGCTCCTGGGAGGACCTCTTCGCAAATGCTGGATTCGCCTCGTGATTCTGGTCAAGACGCACCCAGGGATAGGTCCAGGGAAAAGCTTTAATAGTACCTTCGTGTTCCTCGAGGAACTAGGCGGAGGGAAGAGAAAGATGGGGTAGGAGAGGGGGAGACAAAGTGATGGAGGGTACAGGAGGGGGAGAGGAGGAGCAAAGAAAAGAATTACTGACAAAAGGATCCATTTGGAGGGTTCCGGAAACCCTGAACCAAAAATACTTGCCATCTCTTGTCGGGCTTCTACTGGCCCGGGTTAACGCAAGCCTGGGCCAGCCAAACTTTGCAGGATCCTGCAGGATCCTGCGCGCTAGCCCGTGTCAATGCAACCCTGGCTTTGCAGAATCCTGCAAGATCTGGCGCTCCGGCTGGCCCCCGTTTGCATTGGCCCCCGTCTCTACCACTCCCGACTTTGACTTTTGCTTTCACCGGCATCCGCCAGCCTTCCGCTGGCGGAGGCGGCCTCGCTTGGCTCCCGCCGCCTTCCGCCCGTCTCAGGCCGCCCTCCGCCAAGGGAAGAGGCGGCAATCTCCTTCGATCCTGGGAGGCGAGGCCCTTCCTGGAGCGCCTCGTATGCTTTTCACTTGTAAAGCCGTGGGCAGTAAGACTGGAGGGTACAGATGCAGTCACCTGCGATCTGTTCTACAGTCCAGACCCAAAGCAAGACCCTTGGACATCCCATTTGCCACGTAGAGCTCCTCGGAAGCCAACGTTGGCTCAGAGTGGGCCGCACAGAAGCAGGTATACAAGGGTAGCCTTGATTAGGCAGCGCATCCATGCCATGGATTTTGATTGTATTCCCCGCCCGTAGCGTCCGTTACGGGGTGGAGCCGTGGGGAGGGCGGGCCTGCGAGCGTCACAGCATACTCGTGAGAACCAAAGTATGAGTTTCGATCAACCGATCCCCATCGTCCCCATCCCCAGCGGCGTGACCTGGGCCCCACTGGCCGATTTACCCCCGTAGATGGGGATATAGGTCGTTCCCTTCGGGTTTCGAGGGGTGTATCCCCAACCGGGCGGGTAACTTGGTGGGGGTCTCGAAGGGGATGGGGATGGGGATTGGGGGTCGGTTAAACGATACTGAAAGTATGCGCAAGCCTGGGAGCATTGCGCCATGTCTGTGGAGTACACCAGCCACCAGCTCCCCCCGCGCACGTTCGGCACCGTCACGGGAAGGGCCGTGAAGCTAGCTACGGTCTATGGTAGGCCAACGCGTAACGGACTGGATGTCCGTTGTCGCTTTCGAAGGGGGTTGAGCACCTTTCTGAAGATCAAAACGTTGCTGGATAGGGCGTTGCCTGCACCTCGTCTGGCCGATGCGAGCGACCCTCCCGCTCAGCCCGATAAGAGTGCTACCACGGTGCCGAAGGCTGTCTCGGATGCTCGGACTGCCCCCGCACACGAGCAGCGCATGGCGGCTCTTCTTGCCCGCGTCACGGCCAAAGAAGATGCAAGGGCCTCAGGGTTGATTTAACGCGGGTCGATCCCCCATTGCTGTTGGTGCTTTCACCTCCCGACCTTTCCAAGACGCTATCTATCCGTTACGGGAAGGGGAGGCTGGTTGGCGAACCCCGCAACGGACATTACGGGCTCACCGAATAGATCGAATCAGGTACGGGTCGGATCGCCAACGCATCGTGCCAAATCGAATCGGTATCGGATCGCCGCGCCTGTCTTTGGCCAACCCTGAGATCCGACGTTGCGAACACAATTGCAACATCGCGGACAAATCACGGCCAGAGGCCCAAATCCCATCTTTCCGCAGCAGTTTTCGAGCCGGATCGATCTGCGAGGGTCCTGAGGCCCGAGATATGGCGAAACGTCCAGTGCGACGCCCGTAGATGCCAGCGAATCGGTCCGAACCCGACCAGACTTGCCGCCCAAGCCGACGAGTCGAGTCGCATCGAATCGGATCGTAAGCGTCCCGGTCCTTCTCCGCGAGCTCGATGACCACCCGCTGCTGGGGCGGCCTGGGCCGACGGGCGGCGAGGGTCGGCGGCCGTTCTGTCGTCGCCGTCGCCGTCGTCGTCATCGTCGTCGTCGTGTCGTTGTGGTCGTCGTCGAAGCCGGAGGACCCTGAGAGCGGGCATTGCAATCTGTTTACACGAGGCGATTCCGCCCTGTTGCGGGCCCCACGACCCTTTCAAATCGATCCAGCTCGAAATATGCAGCAGCAAGATAGGATCTAGGGCTCTGGTTGTGTTTTTCGTTCCCGATGTTGCAATTTCGTTCGCGACGCCAGGTCGACGGGGAGGAGACAAGAGAGGAGAGAGAGGCGAACTATGTTCGCTCGCGGCACATCTGACGTCCTACCCGTCCCGCCCATCCCTTACCATGGTGCTGATATCTTCTCTATCCGCGGACGCGTGTCATAGCGGACCAGTGTATAACTCCGCAACCGACCCCATCGTCTGATGCGCGCTCGGAAAAGGGGACCTGTAACATGGGAGCAGGATGTGGTGGATGAGCAGGAGGACAAGCAGGAGGACCACGAGGCGGATGAGGAAGGAGGACGAAGACGAGCAGCAGCAGCAGCAGGAATTGGAATGGAAGGAGCGGGAGGGGGAGGACCAGGGGAAGGCGGAGGAGGGGAACGTAGAGGGGCGACAACGATGAGGAGGGAATCGGATCCAGAAAAGTTGCCCGCGCGAGGGCGCGAACGCCATTCTGAACGACGGAGGCAACGCGACGATCCCAAGATGAGGTCAACGCTGGAGCGGGAGCGCCGTTTTGAGTTAGGGGGCCGAGCGGTCATTCCTGGGCGCGTGTCTGGAGTGAGGCTCTGCGGTGCGGACTGTTGTTGATGATGCTGTTGTTGCTGCTGTGGTCGTTGTGGTTGTTGTGGTGTTCTGGTTGTTGTTGTTGTTGCTGCTTCTGTTTTTGTTGTTGTTGTTGTTGTCATTATTGGTGTCATTAATGTTGTTGACGTCGTGGTCGTCGTTGCTGCTGTTGTTGTTGCTATTGCATTGTTGGTGTTGTTGTTGGTGGTGGTGGTGGTAATTGTGTTGGTGTTGGTGTTGGTGCTGGTGTTGTTGGACTTGAATTTCTATCAAATAAATATTGTCGATCCCCCGCGCGAGGTAACCATTGCATGTTTCAATTAAAAGGAATTCCCAGGGGCCCGCCCCCTGGTTGTTGCAAGGGAAAATGGCATTCACCAAACTGCCCCCCCCCCGCCGGGTTTTTAACAACAACAGCTCCCGCCTGATACGTCCTCACAATGTATTTCCAAATTGCGCTCTCGCGCGGGACGTCCTCACAAGTTATACAGAAATCGCGTTCTCGCCTGGTATTTCTTCGCAATGTATTCAGACGCCGCGCCCTCGACACTCAACCATCACACTCTCGCAGTGGATTTCCGTGTGATGTATTAGGGAATCGCGCTATAGCTCGAGAGTTCGTCGCGATGTATTCAGGATGCGCGCTTCAGCAACCAGCCTGCTCGACCTGGCCGCATGGGCCCGCCTTCTCGACCCGCCATTAGGGTCTACCCGCCCGATCTGCCCGTCTGGTTCTTCCACGTGCTTTCTGTTCCTAGCCCCCTCCTTCTTCTCTCTCCAGTGCTACATTATCCTCCCTCCCCCTTGTTACTTCCTTCCATCTGTCCTCTTCTCCCCTGCCTTAAGGGCCGCACGAAATACACGTTGCAAATCAGAAAGATATATACCCACAAGCTGGCACGATCGAAGACTAAGAGGGCGGGTACCCAAGGTACGGGAAACACGTGTTGATTGACACGCGCGTGTGTAAGAACGAACCGTTTCAAAATAATTAATATGGTTGCTGCTGCTGTTGTTGGTGTGGAGTTCTTATTCCTAAATAGTGGTTGTTGTTGATCCCCCTGCCCGATAACCATTGCCATGTTCAATTCAAAGGAATTCCCCCGGGCCCGCACCCTGCTTGTTTATAAAGGACAGCGACGTGTCACGAAACCTAATTTCAACAACAACGGCTCCCGTCTGATACTTCCGCACAATGTATTCCCACATCGCGCTCTTGCGCGGGACGTCCTCGCAAATGATGCAGGAATCGCGCTCCCGCGTGGGACTTCCTTGTAATGTATTCAGACGCCGCGCCCTCGACGCTCAGGAATCACATGTTCGCTCCTGCCTTTCTCACGATTTACTTGGAAATCGCGCTATCGCGCGAGACTTTCTCGCGATACATGCACTATTCACGTTTCAGCAACCAACCTGCTCGACCTGGCCGTATGGGCCCGCCTTCCAGACCCGCCCGTTAAGGTCTAACCCGCCCCAATGGGCCCGTCTGGTTCTTCCACGTGCTTTCTGTTCTTAGCCCCCCTCCTGCAAATCCCGTTCTCCATCCTTCCCCCCTCCCCCTTCCATCCGTCCTCTTTCCCCCTGTTTCAGGGGCTGCACCAATCACGCGCGGCAGGAGGGCTAGTATCGAGGGTTTGGGATATACGTGTTGACCGGCACGCGATCAGGTAAGAGCGAACAGTCTTAAAACGATTGCTTGTGTTGCTGTTGTTGAACCCCCACTACTGAAGAATAATCATTGTTGATCCCCCCTCTCCAGGGCACATTGTTCTTTCAGTTGTAATGTCCTTCCCAGGCCTTGCACCATATGTTTTTATCAGGTGAAGCCTTGGGTCTCAGAATTGGGCCCCCGCCCCCCGAATTACAACAACAACGGTTCCCGCCTGACTCTTCCGTCCAAACCTCATTCTCGCGCGGGACGCCCACACAAGTTATTAAGTATCCCGGCAAAGCAACCTGTCAGCGATGTGTATAAGCATATCTGGAAGCATTCCCCTTACGATTCAGGTGAGAATCCAGTTGTAGAATTCTGCTGTTCTCGCAGTCGCAGTCGCATTCGCAATGACAGTCGCAGTGGCAACGGCCTTAGGATCCAATGGAATCCTAAGGATTCCCAGGGATTCCTAAGGTATCCTTAGGCACCCTTAAGAATCCATAAGAATCCTTAGGAAACCTTAAGAATCCTTAGGAATCCTGATTCCTATGAATTCCTAGGGATTCCTAAGGATTCCTAGGGAATCCCAAGGATTCCTGAGGATGCTTAACTATGCCTACGGATTCCTAAGGATGCCTACGGATTCCTAAGGATTCCTACGAATTCTTGAGGATTCCTATGGATTCCTACGGATGCCTCAGCCTGCCTCAGTTTCAGCCTCAGCCTCAGCCTGCCTCGGCTTGCCTCAGCGTCAGCCTCAGCCTGCCTCGGCCTCAGCCTCAGCCTGCCTCAGCCTCAGCCTCAGCCTGCCTCGGCCTCAGCCTGCGTCAGCCTCAGCCTCAGCCTGCCTCAGCCTCAGCCTCAGCCTCAGCCTCAGCCTCAGCCTCAGCCTCAGCCTGCCTCGGCTTGCCTCAGCCTCAGCCTCAGCCTGCCTCGGCCTCAGCCTGCCTCGGCCTCAGCCTGCCTCAGCCTCCCCTCCCCCCCCCTTCCCCCCCCATTCAGCCTCACCTTGTCTCAGCTTCGGCCTGCCTCGGCCTCATCCTCAGCCTCAGCCTCAGTCTCAGCCTCAGCCTGTCTCGGCCTGAGCCTGCCTCGGCCTCAGCCTCAGCCTGCCTCAGCCTCAGCCTGCCTCAGCCTCAGCCTCAGCCTGTCTCAGCCTCAGCCCTCAGCCTCAGCCTCAGCCTCAGCCTCAGCCTCAGCCTCAGCCTGCCTCCTTGCCTCGGCCTCAGCCTCAGCCTGCCTCGCCTCAGCCTCAGCCTCAGCCTGCCTCAGCCTCAGCCTGCCTCAGCCTCAGCCTCAGCCTCAGCCTCAGCCTCAGCCTCAGCCTCAGCCTCAGCCTCAGCCTCAGCCTCAGCCTCAGCCTCAGCCTCAGCCTCAGCCTCAGCCTCAGCCTCCTCAGCCTCAGCCTCAGCCTCAGCCTCAGCCTGCCTCAGCCTCAGCGTCAGCCTCTCAGCCTCAGCCTGCATCAGCCTCAGCCTCAGCCTGCCTCAGCCTCAGCCTCAGCCTGCCTCGGCCTCAGCCTGCTCAGCCTCAGCCTCAGCCTGCCTCGGCCTCAGCCTGCGTCAGCCTCAGCCTCAGCCTGCCTCAGCCTCAGCCTGCCTCAGCCTCAGCCTCAGCCTGCCTCGGCGTGCCTCAGCCTCAGCCTCAGCCTGCCTGGGCCTCAGCCTGCCTGGGCCTCAGCCTGCCTCAGCTCGGGCATTCAAAATATGGCACAGGACTTGCGTTCTGGGAACACGAAGATCACGAAGTGGCCCACGGTTGGCTCCGGGCAATCAAAATATGGTACAGGAATTGTGTTCTGGGAACACGAAGAACACGAAGTGGCCTACAGTTGGCTCCGGGCATTCACAATGTGGCCTGGGAATTGTGTTCTGGGAACACGAAGAACACGAAAAGGCTTACAGTTGGCTCCGGGCATTCAACATGTGGCCTAGGAATGGTGTTCTGGGAACACGAAGATCACGAAGTGGCCTACAGTTGGCTCCAGGCATTCAAAATGTGGCCTGGGCATGGTGTTCTGGGAACACGAAGAACACGAAGTGGCCTACGGTTGGCTCCGGGCATTCAAAATGTGTCCTGGGAGTGGTGTTCTGGGAACACGAGGAACACGAAGTGGCCTACAGTTGGCTCTGGGCATTCAAAATGTGGCCTGGGAATGGTGTTCTGGGAATGGATTCCTGATGATTCCTAAGAATTTCTTAAGATTCCTAAAGATTCCTGGGGCTGCCGGTTTTGTTCGGTTTTGTCCGGATCCCGCCCAGACCCCCCTGGGGCGTCATGATGCTTTTGACACTACTAGGACCCTATCAGTCTTCGCTGTCAGGTGAAAAAATCGGCTCTCGCGTGGCACTTTTTACAAATTATTCACACGCCTCGCCCTCGACACTCAGGAATCACGCTCCCTCTTTTGCCTATCTCACGATTTACCGGGGCAGCGCGCTATCGCTCGAGACTCGCGATTCACGCAGGACGCACGCTTCAGCAACCCGCCTGCTCGACCTGGCCGCCCAGGCCCGCTCTCCAGACCCGACTGTTA